ATAGGAAACAATCCAAAAATTAAGGATAAAAAAACAGAAATTATTACTCCATATTCTGGAAAATTATCCAATAAAAACTAAGTGGCAGCAATTCACAAAATGGGAAAAATCCTGAAAATTTAGATACATAGACCAGAAATTCTATTATGGAGGAAAAATTAATGGACTTTAAAGAACACATATTTAAAAATAAGCTCTACATTAATCAAATTAGGTTCTTTATTTTGGAGTAGCAGTTATTGTTCAAATAGTGTTAACACAAGTCAAAATCATAATACATTTTGCCATTCATCCAAAATACAGGTAGTCCTCATTTAGCAACTGCCTCGTTTAGCGACCATTCACAGTTGTGATGGTGATGAAAAGTAACTATGACTAATCCTCACATTTACAACCTTTGCAGGTCTATAAAGCAAAGGAAAGCTGAAATAAGATAATAAGCAGTCACAGTTTCACTTAGCGACCACTTCGCTTAACAACCAAGTTGCTGGTCCCAATTGTGGTCCCTAAACAAGGTCTACCTTATCTTTGTTATTACAAATATGCATGATAATAATACTTTATTGATTAGCCATTAGGCCATATTGGAATATAAAATATAGAATAGTAATAAGACCATATGTTAGAAAATAGAGTAAAAGACATAAGTAAAAGAAAATGCAAATCATATTTCTGTGTCACCCATACATTTACAAATATACACAATCCCAGAATAATTAAACATGGAGGAGGATCTAGCCATTATAATAGTTGTTGCAAAATACTTTTAATAGAAGAAAATATATGTAGCTCAGGATTGAACTGTGGAGTCCTTGGTACTCTCTGAGCTTGGTTGTTTGCTTGCAAACATTTCATTACATGACTAGGTAACATCATCAGTGCTAGTGAGTGTGGGGCTTGCTCCCTATTTATATTCATTAGCTTGCCCTGTCATTGTTGGTGGCGGTGTAGTTTTCTCCTTGGTAGTTCCTTGATTTCTCTTGTTTGCTGCTTGTTTGTCTGGTGTTAATCCCTGCTTATCTGGGTGTAGACTGCTAGAGAGAATGTGTTCTGGTCATTTTGTTTCCTCCTTAGCTTTTTTATGTCTCTTTTGAATGGGTATAAATGTGGCTTATCTCCAAATAGACCAAGCTAAATCCAAAAACACTAGGGAATTTCTGGAAGCTTGGCATTCAAACAAATCAGCCACCAATAGACACATAGAGTAAGCCACATTTACACACCAGTCAAAAGAGACAATAAAAAAGCTAAGAAGGAAACAAAAAGACAAGAACACATCCTCTCCAGTAGCCTACACCCAGATAAGCAGGGATTAACACCAGACAAACAATCAAGTAGAAAACAATAGAAATTAAGGAACTACCAAGGGGAAAACCACACCCCTACCCACACTGGTAGGGCAAGCTAACGTATATAAACAGGAAGCAAACCCTACACTCACTATCACTGATGATGTTACCTAGTTGGGTACAGGTAGTCCTTAGCTTACAACCATTTGTTTAGCGACCAAAGTTATGACAGTGCTGAAAAAGGTGACTTATGGCCATTCCTCGTACTTATGACCGTCACAGCATCCCTGTGGTCACGTGATCAAAATTTGGGCACTTGGCAACCAGCATGTATTTACAACAGTTGCAGCATCCCGGGATCACTTGATTACCATTTGCGACCTTCCCAACTGGCTTCTGACAAGCAAAATCAATGGGGAACTGTGTGATTTGTATAACACCCACAGTGATTTGCTTAACAACCATTGCAAAAATGTCATAAAATTGGATGCAGTCATGTGACACCTTGCTTAACAACTGTACCACTTAATAATGAATTTTCTGGTCCCTACTGTGGTTGTAAGTACTACCTGTAATGAAATGTCTGCAAGCAAACAACCAAGCTCAGAGAGCACCAAGGACTCCACAGAATACTTTTCCCCTCATCTTATTACATTGCAACAATGTAGAATTAAGGTTTTTGAAAAATATAATAATTTAACTGTACAGATGAACAAATCCAAATGCTGAGATTAACCTTGGAAGAACATACATGTGATTCTGATGTACATAGATGTAGGCTGCAGCCCTATTCCCCTTGGATTTATAGAATTGATTTTATTATCTCTTTTGTGGTTGGAAAGAGAACTCTGCCTTCATAGGAGTTATCTAACATTGGATTCTCCTTCAGAGGAGATAGCTTGGAGGAGTTGAGTTAGGATTTCACCATGCTCACAAAAAATTCTGGCTAACTTGAACTGATCTGTCTCCATTCAAGTGCTGTCAAAGCTAATACAGCCCTCATTCTTGGTCTCCAATGCTGGCATCAAAGATTTAGGAATAATCATATTTTATTCTACAGTTTGCATAAAATATAATTGAATCATTAGTGTTCTAAAAGTGAGCATTGGAAAAACAATAACTTAATGAAGAAAACTCTAGCCAAAAAACTTCTGTACATTTACCAGTATATTTTAAACAATATGCCAAATGTGTTTGCTGTTATAGATTGATAGCAAAATAGGTTTGGATTATGAATAACAGGACAAAAGTTCTTTTTAGAATGTATCTAGGTTCATGTATCACACCAAACGATAATTTAACATTGTTTGGCTTTGTGTACACTAGTTCCCTTCTTCACATTTTAGTACAAGCCACAGAATATCTAAGCATCAAACTAGTTTTGGCTTGTCCAAACTAAAACTGAAAGCTGTAATCAGATGGGCTTGCTCTTAGCTAAATAAGGTATCAGGAAGGTAATAGAATACCTTGCCGACATAAAGAAAATATACCCTCAAGTTCAAGATGACTACATTGATACAGTTGTATTGTTTTTTGGTAACAGTATGGTTTACTGATGCATTGTTTTGGAAAGTTTTTCAACTTCCCAGTCTAGCCTGCAGCCTCAATATTCCCTGGTAGTTTTTCATCCAAGCATTATTTAGCTTCCAAGGCCAGACAGGTAGGAAACTCATTTATGTACAGATAATTGACATTAAAAAGAGGACTTTTAGCTTTTATTATTTATTTGTAGCATTTGCATACTGCTTTTCATTTAAAAAACATCAAAGCCATTTCCATTGCATAATAAATATAAGAAAATGTAAAAAGAACAAATGTTGTACAGTCAACACAATAAATCAGCTATTAGTGCAGTTGTTGAAATGTTAGACAGGGACTGAAAAGAAAGTATTGGCCAAAAGATTTTTAATTTATGGTACAGGTAGTCCTTGACTTATGACCACACTTGCGACCGGAACTTCCATTGCTAAGCAATGCAGTCATTAAGTGAGTTGCACCCAATTTTACTATCTTTTCTGCCCTGGTCGTTAAGGAAATCACCATGGTCATTAAGCAAATCACATGGTCATTAAGCAAATACAGTTTCCCCCATTGACTTTGCATGTCAGACGCCCCCTGGGAAGGTTGCAGATGGCAGTCATGTGACCCTGGGATGCTGCAACCATTGTAAATACATGCTGGTTGCAAGTGCCCAAATTTTGATCGCATGACCATTGGGATGCTGCAATGGTCGTAAGTGCAAGGACTGGTTGTAAATCACTTTTTTCAGCATCATAACTTTGAATGGTTGTTAAACAAATAGTTGTAAGTTGAGGACTACCTGTAGAAGCCCTAAGCTATACAGATCTTCCTATGTGTATATAAATTAGTATCACAGTTTAATTTACTATTTCTACTTTTGAGGTATTTTGGATGACTCTAAAAAGGCACAATATGCTAAAACAGAAAAATCTTTCTTAAAGACAATTTAACATTTAAACATCTAGGATTCAATATGTCTTTGATTTGTAATCAGAAGTTTAACTGGTAACTTAATTTTCCCCTGATTTATTTAGCTGAAGAAGAGGCAAATGAAGAAGATGTTTTGGGAGAAGAAACAGAGGTAAATCTATGTCATGCTACTGCAGCAGCAATTCTTTAATCATGTAATTCATGGAACTTGTACTGTGTCTCATCATTTAGGTCCTCCTTTTTGATAATATGTGTAAGAACTAAATAACTGTAGAAAATTTAGTAACATGTAGGAACTATTCTGTATTTGAACAAGTTACATATTTTAGTGTATAACTAGAACTGTATTAAAACTTTGTTTTAAATAATATTCTATAATTAGAATAAAAGAGATTTTTGGGTGAGCTTCTGGTTAGTACATGTGACTCTCCAGGAAGCATGAAATTTGGATCTAGCACTATAAAGAAGGTTGATAGAATGCCCTTCTAATTCTGATTGTAAGGCTACAACATAGTATGGAATTTAATGGGAGTGAACTTCATTATGCACAGTGGTTCATACTTCTGCATTGATATGTGTAAGACTATGCTATAAATGCTATATATTTTGTGTTAGCAAAATTCCTGTTCATGGGAATTTTTAATCTTGTTTCATTGAGGAGATCATTTTACTCTCCATTTCTTTCACACTTGCAAAGCTTGGATTGAGTGGTCTTTGTATTATTCTTGAGTGAACTAAACTTAGCCTGCAAATAAGTTAGAAATATTTTTATAACAAATATTCAGAGGTTCATAGCAAACTTCAGTGTTAAGTTTCCAGTACTAGATTAGTATTAGTTGCTTTATTGACTTAATTGTTTTTATGAATCATAACAAAACAACAAAGTACTGTTATAATCCATATAGCTCAGCTGTTTCACACAAAAAATGTATTTAGATGATCAGAGCTGTGCTGTTCACATTGTCATGTTTAGTGCATCTGGCTAACTGGATATTTTTCAGTAAATGATCGATTTGTGCTCAGAAACTTAATAGTTTATGTAACTCCAGTAAGTGACTACAATGGGGGAAAATATTTATGGCTTTTTTAATATGTTTGAGACACAGTTTAGGCTGCTTCCAGTCTGTTTTGAAAATTGATTTAGAAGTAGCTATTAACTTCTTATAACTTCCATATTAATTGCTTAAATAAGTTTTAATTTTATGTAAAATCTTTGTCAACAGCTATCAGAAGGAGCTTTTCAAAAAAGTATTAAGAGATGAGGAATAATGATCAGCTAAAATGGCATTACATTTTTTTTGTTCTTTATAAATGTTATGGATATTGTATAGTAAAATAATAAAAATCTAATGCAGAACCATGAGCTATTTACATTTTAAGTAGTCACATTATTTTAATGTACATAATCTTTCTACTCCTACCAGTCATGGAAAAAACATAGTTCATTGTTGATTTTGAACTTGATTCCTCACATGATTAATTACTCCCCCCCATTCTGTCCCCACATGTTTTTGACATATTGCTATATAGCCCATACTTTCATGCATGCTTTCCTAAAACCTGCAAGTAAGATTCTTAGACTACTTATTTTTGCTTGTGCAATGGAAATTTACTTTTTGTTACATATAACCAGGCATTTTTAAAAATCAGCTTACAGTTAGTCCACAAAAGTATAACATGTTTGCAGGTCATGGAAAGGAAGCTTCCTTCTCCACAGTTAGCATGAATCGAAAAGCTCTTAGCAGATAATAAAGAGGAGAAAACCTTTTACAGGAGGACTGATTGAGCAGATCAGATCAATCCATCCATACTCTGCTACCTTTTTTCTGTGGCTGGCATAGAAACCAAGGGTTGGAATGATTCCTCTTTCTTCCACTAGCTGTCATGTTTGCATGCATTAAATTCTCAAATACCTGTGACTGTCAAGTGAGCTGCTAAAGACATAACTGCATAATGCTTTCCAAAAATATCCAAAAGTTATAGAAGCTGAACTTTATAAATCCACATAAAAGTAGCAATATTGGGGCATGAGGGGAAAAATTAATACTGTATTGGAGCAGTAATTTTATATACTCATCCTAAGGTTTACAAAATAATCAGATATGTTCTGACCTTATGCTTCTTTCTCCTGACAACAGAGTTATTCTTGCTTTTTATGTGACTTGGGAAATACCCATTTTAGCTCTTCAGTTCAAATTGTAGATCAATAGTGTTGTGATTCTATTGTCTGAATGTGCATGACTTCCTACTTGAGTCTTCTATTAACCCTTTATATTATATATTTCTTCAAATTATCTCCAGCTTTTAATTGCTGGTTTGTTCTCTGTTCTGTTTTCCTGCAAGGGAACTATATATTTTACTTCAAGTTGGAAACTGTTCTGAGTCTTAATAGCAGGAATTATATTTCCAAAGATGGAGGCCACAACATGTTTTCATCTTCCTAAAAGTCTTTGAGAAGAATCTTGGTGCAACTGAATATTACTTCTGTTAGGAATATAATTTTTAAATTGATAAAATGGTTAGAGCCTTGTCTGCACTACTCTCTCATAGGCTATCCAATAGACTGAACTACAATACAGATTAAATACTGGGCATGATGCCCTCCCTTCTCTCAGTTAAGCATTTCAAACCTCAAACTTGTAGGTTTGTCTGTTGACCAAGAGTTGTGATTGTGGGGCTGGATCTTTTCAGACTTGAAATTCTGTGAATGTTTAATTCATAATTTACTCAATAATGTTTACTTCAGTATGTAAAATTGTAAAAAATGTAAAATATATTCAATATGTAAAATTGGTCTGGAACTATTTGTGCAGCCTATGTTTGTTCTTCTTTGTAGATTTACTCTCTAACTTTGAATATTTACATTGCAGGAAGAAGAACAGAAGCCCTTAGACAATCCCATCAAAGAGGAAGTAACTACAGAGACCTCTACTGAAATGTAATCTTACTTCATAGATCAGAACGTATATTGGTCAAGTATTATTTATTTATGTGCATTTTCAGAATTTATTTGCCATTTGTTTATTGAGATTCTGACTCTGTCTCAATAAACAAGTGGATTATGAATCTGGATTAGGAAGGATTAGTAATGGATTATATTTGAAATACTGTGACATTTTGGAAATCTCAAGTATGAGTACAAAGAAGCTAAATATAATTGACCTGAATATAAAGCCAAATTTAATGAAGTGTACTGTATTTAAAATAAGTATAGTCCAGAATTCTGTAATTTAGCATCCAGTTCTCATGACTCTTTTGTATTTAAGACAGATTTACCTAGTTTCTAAATCTGTAACATTGCACGTATTTTACCTTTGATTTTTAAAAAAAATCAACATTCTTCTCCAAAGCACTTGAAATTGTGTTCTAGATAAATGTGAATTATGCAACTTATATAAGCAAAGCTGTTAATTATAGTCCTTTTTCCCCCCAAGAATGGCATTGCTTCCTTATTTTTCTGCAGATACGTTGTCTTTCCCTATATATACTTTAGGTGAAGAATTTCAGATTTAGTTTTACCCAGCTTTCCTAGGCAAAAGAAAGCTATTAGAGTTATCCCTGTATTAACAAAGACAAAGCAAAGATACACAGTTTAGCTTGCAATACCCATTCTCATTGCACATCAAGGAACAGGCAAGTTGTAAAAGCAAATAGGGCCACCTGTGTCAACGACATGCTTTAAAGGCTAAAGGAGAGAAGCAAATTGCCCATTTGTCCTTAGTGCCATTCGTCAGCTGAACATTTGAAGTGATACACAGTGTACTCCTGTGACCCAGTCAAGCAGGCATGCATTCAAATTGCACTAGGGAAAAAAGGTCAAGGAGGGTGAACTTGTACCTCTTCATGAAATTATCATGTATCTCACATATTAAAAATAATGTTAACAATAGACTTTTGCATTATGGTTTTGTTAGGTTCCATATGCTTGTTTTCCAAGCTTCATTAACAGATTTTGGCAGATAGAAATATTCCTGTACAATGGTTTGTGTTACCTGGGAAGTCAGATTTTAATCCAGTAGTTTGTTTATAGAGTGTTTTTCTTCTATTTTTCAAATTAAAAGACTTTCAGATGCATTAGGAAGGAAAAGATTTTAAAATGCATTAGGAATACTAGTTAAAACACAAATATGTTTGCAACAAAAGTGTTGATAACATAACATTAAAATAAGGAATTTAGTTTATTCCACTTTCACACCATTTTCAGGCAAACTTTTATTTTTTTAAAAGCGAGATGATAGTATATTTCCTTTTAAATTATTTATTTATTTGTTAAATTTATATAGCCACCCATCTCACTCCCATGACTCTTGGCAGCTTACAAAATTAGCAGAACAAGGTTTAGATAGGTGAAAACCTTGTCTCTTTCCAAATATAGATTCGGTAATCTAGACTGTTGTGGCAGTGGCTCTTTCAAGATCATGTACATTCATGAGATGAATATAATCCTAAATGGATTAGTTCTTAGTTGTAATTATAGTTGCATTTATAGTGCAGTGCACTCAAATGCAGCAATGAAATCACCATATGCATTTTCTGTTAAAACATGTTATCTCCTACCAACACTTAGTAAGCACTTGATTATACAATTGTTTGTTCAAAAAGAAATGGTTCCAAAACAGAAATACGTTTGATGAAATCATAGCTGAACATTTAGTACAGTGTCAGCTTCTTGGCAGCAGGGGGTGCCATTTCTCTACATCTACTGAAGGTTGCAAACCATGCTGTAGGGATAACAAGTCCCTGGTTCCTGTTTTGAATTGCTTCCTGTGAAAAAGTCATTAAACCATTACTACCTTTCAGGGCATAAAATAGAAAAACTGTGCAGGAATCTTGAACAAAAGCCATCCATTTCTCTAAATGGGAGACCTTAATGAGTCAGGCTATGACCCACTGTTTTATGGGAGCTGTTTGGAGGAGGAGGATGCTGTTTCATTTAGCCTGGGAACTTCCGAAGTTTGTGTCTTCCACTTTTGTTTTTTCTTCCAAACCTCAACCTTGTTTTTAGAGCATAAACTTCCAAGCACGCCTACTCCATTATATTTTTGTTCAAGCTGTTAACTGGCTTCCATTGCACATTGTTAAAGAGTATATATTTGATATGGAGCTAGAGATGGCCTAGCTAAAAATCAACCATAGCTACCTCATGAACTATAACTCATTTGTTAAATATGGTCATAAAAGGATAAAATTCTCAGGGCATGTAACATAGACATTAGCTCTCTGGCTGGGATTGACTCCTTAGTGTAAGTCATTTTAGGATCATTTTCCCTGTTGTGCTTTGTGTATGAGTGATTATGTGCTAAAGGAAATCTCATTTATCTTTGTATAGAAAGCATCCAAATATTTTAATAATCAGAAATTCAGATAAGTGTCCAGTTTACATTCACTTGTTGGAGAAAGTGTGAATTTAAATAGTGGTTCAGGCAGATTGAGTTCTCTAGTATCTTTTGATCAGCTGTCTTCATTCTTCACCAATGTGCTGTTTTTTTTCCCATGCTTTTGAGTTGAATGACATGTTTTACTCACAGTTGAAGATAATTTCATTCCTTTCAGTGTGGTACAGATAACGGAACTAGGTCAACTAAAATACAAAAGTTATCACCATACAAATAAATGAAGAATGGCAATGAAGCTTCACATTTGATCCTTTGCGTATGCTGATGCTGGGAAAGATTGAAGGCAAAAGGAGAAGAGGATGGCAGAGGATGAGATGGTTAGATAGCATCACTGAAGCAATGAGCATGAAACTGAGCAAACTCAGGGAGACAGTGAAGGACAGGAAGGCCTGGCGCAATATGGTTCATGAGGTCACGAAGAGTCAGACACGACTTAACGATTGAACAACAACAACAATCCTTTGCCTTGTTAAGGCAAATCTGGAATTCATGAGTCAAGTCAAAGCTTGCTTTTGTCAGAATAGTATATCTTAGCTGTCTTCAAATTTCTTTTTATGCTAGGTTGCTTTTGTCCCCAAGACTCATATTGCCTCATAGAGTACATTGTTTTTCAGGTCCATATCATTACCTTCTCATCTATTTCTGTTAGGCATGCAGAGTTTTATTTTTCTTACTTTATCATAAAGTCTAAATTGTTAATAACTTTTTCAGTTAGCATACGTTTCCTTCATTGTATGTTTCTACATACATTTTACCCATTTTAAACTCAATCTTTATCATCCTTTTGTGAATTTTTCTTTACCCATCAAAATGCCAATTGAATGTATTCTACGTTTCCAATTGTATAACCTTTTTCATTAATGTAATGTGCCAGACTTCCTTAATAAGTTGATGTTACCACTTGAAGTATTTTCATAATTGTCTTGGGATCACCAATAGTCACCTGAATTATTTTGTGGTAATCTCCTAATTTGTAAAGTGTAACATGATTGAAGTAGACATTCTTATAAATGATCCTCAAGTAATGTTTAGGGCACAATTGTTCCAAGACAATGGTTGAAGGATTCTAGGGTTTTGCAGAGTAAATTGTTTACAGATAGAAGTCTTTTTGAATGTGTGTAGTTACTCAAGGTTTACAGGGAAAGGTATCCCTGTATATCCAGGCAGAGAAGGCAGTCCATGTAGAATAGTTAAGTTTAAATAGGTGATGTTTTTAAGTAGACAGAATTCAGTCAAGTAAGGACATCAAATAGAGTAAAATAAATCAGAAGCCCTGTTGTGTAAATGACAGATAAATCCAGCACCATGGAAAGCACCAAGTGAGGTTTATTGACTGAAGTTCTCCCTTGCTCCAACAATGAGGATGTTGTCTCAGCAACGAGCTAAAGGTAGCCCAATCTGTTATATGGGCAGCCCATCGTTCTCTGGAGAAGTCCAATTAAAGGGCCCTCAGCTGTTACTATAGCTTTTTGTGAAGCTGGAGAGTTAAAAGCTATTTGAGGGTTCATTCTCTAGATTCAGAGGTTGATGGCAGGACAGTTTCTCTGACTGGAAGAGTCTTCATTTAAGATTATCTTTCCTCTGAGGGAACAATTTCATCACCTTCAGATTTTTCTGCTACATCTTAAAAGTGGCATTGTTTGGAGAGCATGGTAATGGTACGGCAGTGCTGCTTTCATAATTGTGGAGCCAAAAATGGGCTATTTTCAGAATATCTATGGTAAGCTGTAGATCCATATGTGCTCCTTATTTCCCAGTGCACCCAAAGCAAGGGCTGGGAGTTGTGCCAGCTCTAAAATTAGTGTAATATTTATCTCTTTTTAGTATCAGAGAAAAAATAGGGAAAATATATAGTGGTAGGGAAGGTTCAATTACCAGCAAAATATCTTCTGCCATTGCTGGTTATGCTTATTAGGCTTCAGAAGTGGGAGTTAATCTACCACGGATTCTATCTCTTCACCATTCACTATTAGCGAATATTCTTTGCACAATATATATCATGAAATATATCATGATATATTTGTAAGGCCCGTGGTAACCTTTCTCAACTTGATATTCTCTAGATACATTAAGGGTGCATCTTCAAAGTCCACTCTTTCAGCCACTCTGGTTGGGAATTCTGGGACTTGCAGTTCTTATGTAATTTGTTTGTATCATGTTGGTGAAGTTCAGCTATGAGAAAGCCAAGACTCACATAGCTCAAAGTTTGATCATATTGTGTTCCATAATAGCCACAAGCAGGAAATAGCCCTGGCTTAGTAACAGATTAAACATGGGATCCCACACATCCCAAAGTGAGGGCCTTCTGTTGTCCATGGCTTGCAGTATATCTCAAACCAGTAAGCATCTGTTGTTCAGTAATTTTTTTAAAATGTCCATCAAACTGAATTTACTTTGGTTATAAAAGGCAAGTAATTTGTGTTCTGATCAACCTGTTTTGCTTTTATTTAGGAGTGCAGAAAAAAAAGTGGTGAAAATTACATCAGAAATTCCTCAGATGGAGGTAAGTTGCTTTCTGGCAGTTTCTAGGTAGAACACCCAAATATGGGAAGTGTCTTCTGCCCAAATCATAATTTTTGTAAATACAGTGGAATCTTGGCCAATGATTTATAGTGTGAGACTTAAGTTTTCTGATTTTCTAGCATAGTTTGTCTTGTAGCATTGGGTTGAGAATAGTTCACATATATCAGCTTCCAGTGTGAGTCATGGTGACTGAAGACATCTCCATGAATGAGAGGAGATGACAACCGCTGTGAAGATGAAAGACTTGTGAGTAGACTAGTCCTTCTAATCTCTGGAGAAGGAGAGATTGGGAGATTGCCCACAAATGCTCTGAATGGCAGTTCCTTGTGAGGAGACCGTAAAACAGCAATCTCCTGCCGGTTTGAGTGTCAGGAGCCGAGGGAGACGACATGTTTGCTCTCAGTGGTGGCGGAGCCTTTCATAAGGACACTAAGCCAGCCAAACTCACTTTCTAATTATGTTCAGAAATTTTCAGTTTAACCTTTTTATGGATCTTAGAGATCTTCAGAATGGTGAGCTTAATTTGACACCCAGTGAGTTTTACCTTCTTTGGATTTAAGAAATTTCCAATACTGTAGAGACATAAGAATTTAAAATAATATACAATTGGCAAAAAGAAAAAAAGGATTTTGATTTAGGAAATTTTAAATGGATTGGGAGACCAGAGAGTTTTGGAATATTGGTTATTTTTGCTGTAAGATTTGAAAAATAAGTATATAATTAAATAATATACTCATGGGAAACAACTGAAACAGAACTAAACCCATATTAGGAACTGAGGTTTGGTGAAGGTTGCAAGTGGACACTAGAGGGAACTAAAGGACCAGGCAGAAAAGAGTTAAAACAACTAAGCTGGCTATAACTTTTTCTTATTTTAAAGAGCTTTTTGAAACATGGACTGAAATATAAATAACTAATATCTCAGAAAAGATACAGATTTCAGTGGATAAACTTTTAGAAGACGATGAGAAAAACTTTAAAATACTTTTACCCGACATAGATATTATAAAGTTTGCAGGTATGGAAGACAACAAAATTGAGATTACCAAAATGGGAATACAAAAGACAAATCAAGAAAAGGATCTGAATATGGAATAGCTGTGACAAATTCTGGATGATGCCTCTTAATGGGATTTACAAAGTAGGCTGGTGAAAGTTTTGGAGACTTCTAAATGCCAAAGAGTGATGAAATATCAAATCCTGCAATGCCATAGGAATGATTTAAAGGTCAAGATTGTG